AATCTCCTCTCTTCTGACTAAGGGCGCACATGCATCAATTCTACAGTTCACGTTGTAGCGTTGTGCTGGGCTGCCGTTTTCTCCAAGTCTTGCCCTGTCAGATAGGAAGCTTTGGCAATCCTGCAGAAATCCCTACATGATTAGCTTCGGATCAAGTATCCTTGCCACCGAAACCAGCGCCGGGGAGGGTAAGTCGTGAGGATGCAACGCAGCTTCATGCAGTATTACTACGAGCATTGTCATTCTGATTCATTTGGGTGTGTGTTTTTTGGGGGGGACCAAAAGGTAAATCAGAGTATTTGTTGGGTGAATCCACTTTGGCAGCAGGACTCCGTTTTTTTTTTGGGGGGGGGGAGAGCCGCCTTTCGGTTGGTTTCAACGGGATTTCCCGACAGGAAAACCGAAGCCTGTGAGGCGCAGGAGCCAGCGCCGGAGGTCGTCTGCTTTCAGGAGCTGGCCTTTTTGGATTCCCCTTTGAAAGGTGGCAAAGGGGCGTCAGGGCTGAAGGACAAATCGTATTTTTTGGACCCAGATGCAAATCGGATTTTGAGAAGTTTGGATTGGATTGGTCCTTAGAGACCTTGGCCCGCTGCACAACCTCTTTGAAGGGCCGCTAGCCCTTCGAAATTGGCACGACCTGGCCTTTTTGCAGGACGTGGCGGAGGCAGTGTACTTTGTAGTGGACCATGCAGAGGTGCACTGGATGAACCGTCCCGACAGATTGAACCACGTGAGCCTCGAATGACGCCTGGAAACCAAGCAGATCGACAGGTGGCTGCCACAGCAGCGATGGAAGCAGAGGAGAGCCAGGGGAAGGTGGAGAACGCGCATCTGTTTTGCCTTGACCCCGCAGGATTGGCAAAGAGTTTGCTGGCAGCTCAGCAGACCGTCTCTTTGGACATTTCACCATTTTGGTGGAAGATGCTTTCCATTCTACCCAGGAGCATTGGGGCATACTGGGACTTTGTTTGACACTGCAGACTGCCTGACAGCCTGTGCAGCAAGGCGATCAGTCAACTGCAGCCTTGGACGATCTTGCATGTGCGGGACATCGTTTTGGAGAAGCCTTTGAGGCTGGATGCTGCGATGGGTGACATAGCTTGGGTTCCTCTAGCAACAGTGGTGCCATGGTTCGCTTTTCGATTTGCGATCCAGGAGACACAAAATATATGTCAGCTACCGATTGAGTGATGCAATGAATAGTTCAGGCTCCCAACAGCTGCTGTGGCCAACTGCTAAAGGCTGCCAGCTTGGTGCTAAAGGGTTCTGCTTTTTTTGCACACCAAGACTACATCGGCTTGCAGCGACGACAACAGGTGCATAAAACGTCCTCGTCAGCGGCGTCGTCGTCGGCGGCGTCGTCGTCGAGTCTTGTGGTTCTGTTTGCTTGGTAATCAATGTTGTGATCAATGTTGTTTGGCGGGAAGGAACCTGATACCTGCAAATTCTTTGCACGCCAGTTTCATTCTCAATCTCTTTGCTGTAAGGCTGCTTGATCTCTCTGCCTTCTTTCGGCTTGCCTATCCTGAGCCATTGTTTCTGCAGGGAGGCTTTGCTGAGAGAGGGTATGGCTGCCTTGTTGCTTCAAATTTTGCGTTGCTTATTCCCCAACTAGTTGCGTCCGCGAGTTATTTGTTTCACCAAAAGGATAGGCGCAGCACACATCCCAAGACTTGGTCGCCGCTTGTTTTACTGGAACTGCTTCAGGCTCGGGCAGTGCGCTGGCTCACTCGACGCTCCCAGGCGGAGCTGCGCTTGAGGCAGGGCATGTCGGGGGGCGAAGGGCGAGAGGCGAACGGATCAGTCGGGTAAGCAGAAAGAAGCCATGTGGGTATGGGTCAAAATTACAGCACCAGGGGACCGCAGGTTTTAGTCCTTAGTTCCATTTACTAGGGTTCCAAAATGGATACCCAATTTTTGACCCACAGCCATGTAATGTAGGGGGGGGATACGCTTTGTAGAACCTGCCACGTAGGGAAACTGTTCCGCTGGAAAGGCTTGGGCGCCCCCTCAGGGAAAACGCTCCCCTTCTTGTCGCGTGGATACTCGTATGCCTCAGGGAAACTTCTGCAGCTCTGCGCGACGCGGTTGCAGCAGTGGAGATCTCTCCCAGCCAGACCCTTATGCAAGTTTCACACGGATCTGTCTTTTCTTGAGGGTGCCCTTTTGGATGGTTTTACAGGCAAACCGGCAAAACACTCACCATTTTGGGGGCCCCATTAAAAAATACTACCCCCACATGCTGATTGAATGTTGACCCACCCTGACTGGTTGGTTTGCGTAACATGCAGCCTTGGCTGCGTGCTTTCAGGTGACACTGCGGCCAAGGCAGGCAGAGAGCCAGCTGTCATGGATGGGTCCTACGTGTTCCCCCAACAAAACGCACGCACCGGGCGGTTTGAGCAACGGTCTGTGACCGCGCTGAAAGGTTTCAAGTCATGTTGAGTTGCATTTTGATCAAGCATGCTTTGAAGTGGCAAACGACTGGACTTTGAAGTTCCTTCTGGAACAAAGGAGGTGCCGAGGCTCGGAAGCGGACAAACTTGAACATTTCCCTGAGAGAGCCCCAAGTGGCAACCATATCTTTAAAAACCCGCGGGGTATGGGTGAAAATGGAACCACAAGCCGAAAAGCCGCGTCAAAATCAAAGCACCAGAAAATCGGACAGCAGGTTTCAGTCGGCCTTCCATTTCCCCGACCTTCCCCGACCTTGTCCCCAGCCAGGCCGCAGCCTTGGAGGTGGCTCGACAGCTGGGGGACGAGGAGATGCTGCAGGAGGGGTCCGTGGGTCCGGGAGAAGCGGTGGCTGGGCTCCGTTTGAGAAATGTGGCTGTGGTGGTCAACCCTACTGTGAATGGACGAAATCCGTTTCGCACCACTTGGAAACCATGACAAACCATTGATGGTTGGTATTTACAGGGGAATCAGCATTCCAGGTTTCTTAGGTGGTGCAGGATTTCGTCCATCCACAGTAGGGTTGCCCTGGTAAGTGGCAACATGGACCAAAACCTGTGGTCCGCTGGTGGTTTAATTTTGACCCACACCCATGTGCTTCATACGCAGCTGACCAGATGGGCCAACTTCTGAGCGTTGAATGATACTTGACTGCTGGATGTTTCGGAAGTCGTTTGAAGTCTAGACACTTCGTGAAGGCGTTGGTGCTGCCTTCGGAAGGATTCCCAGAGTCTGCGTTTCTCTCGTGCATACAGCAATTCTTTATTTAGGCATATTTGGCCTCCAGACCTGTCAACTGTTTCTAAAGGTAAGATAAACTACCGGTCATGTTGTCAGCCATGTCACTTTGTTGGTTGCTGAAACTTTACTTTGCACATTCCATTTACCAGGGCAATTTATTTTTCCCAAATTTGGTTGCTGAAGCATGTTTTTAAACATATTCCATGTATCAAGGCTTTTTTTTTGCAAAGACGTCCCCTATGTAAACCACAGGTAGCCGTGGCTTGGTCGACGGGTCGTAGGTCGTGGGCGCCGGTGAGATTCTGGACCGGTGTGCGCCTTTGGCGCTGCGGCCAGTGGAGAGGCGGGGGTCGTGGGCACCGGGTGCCATGTTCACTCCTGCGTTGCCAGGGGAAGATGACGGAACATTACTTTGACCTGGTGTTTGTGTTGCTCCATTGAACCATGCGTGTAGACAGACCCGTTAAGAGTTCCATGAGCGTATTTTTGTCACTTCTACGCCCATGTTGTCATCGTGCCATTGCCGGGGGGGGGGGCACGCGCAAGCGCTTGCCATCTCGCATAGGCCTAAAGCGTGCTTGCGCACGCGTGCACGCCGGGGCGCAGGGTTCCGAAGGCTCCGCCGGTCAACTGGGTCCGGATACCGCCTGACTTTTGTGAGGGCAGATCACTCTCTCAGAGACGAGCAAAATCCCAGATCAACAAGCATGTCGTAGTCAAATCCGCATGATTGATTGCTCGAAGCACTCAACGACGCGACTCAGCATAAGGCACTGGAGCCGTAACAGATGGTCGAATGAAAGCTTGTGGCTTCCAAAAGAACTAAGATAATGGAGCCAGGCACTTAGAAGGACCGCAATTTTGACCTCGCGCAGGTGGGTGGAGGAGGTGCAGAGAGTAGTTGAAGCGCGGGCTGCTTTGCGGGAGCGTCGCGCCGAGAGCTGCTCGGCGTTCCCATCTTCAGAATTCCTGCATGTGTAGTGTGGGTCAAGAGGATCAAGCCATTATTTTGTATTGGGCCCAAAAGGAACCAGGGGATCCGTGATCGATTTCCTCTCCAACGATGTTGACGCAGCCTGAAGCCTGACAAAACCGAGGTGTGTTTAAGACATAGGACAGCTGATAAGAGAAGCTTCAGTAGCAGGAGGCCATTGGCAAGGAACCCCATGCTGAGCTATGGCCATGAAATCTGCCATAGTCATTAGATGCAAGGATGCCGATACCGCTTAAGCATGCTGGTCCTGAAGCACGCCGGTGCAGTGAGGTGCGGACGCAGACTGCCCCGGCCAGGAGGACAGATGTGGGAGTCAAATTGAGATTGCGGTCTGCAAGATCTGCTACGTCTCCAATATTTTTGTTAGGGTGTCTCTCAATAAATGGCCCCCCCTTTGAGGTGGTCTTGAAAGGGAGCCAACAAGAACCAACGTAGAGGGATCCGGCAGGAGAACCAGCAGGTGAACAGCAGTGACGTGAAGGTGGTAACGCCAATCCAGAGTGTGGATCCGCTGGGTGATGGTGAGGTGACTTTGCTGCATGTTTTTCAATGGGTGTCTTGAGGGTTTCATTTTGACTTGCAATGCGACTCAGTCCATCCCTCGGTCTTTGGCCTGACCTCGCATAGATCAGCATGGCTTTGCCCCTGGTCGATCTCAGCCTACCTCTGACAGCTTCTTCGCCTGTTCCCGGCTGCCAGGTGACCGATGCCTATCACCTTGGCTTCACGTGCTGGCTGCTTCTGCGAGTCGAAGATATGCGGGAGAGACTGTTTGTTCTTTGCGTCTGTGCGCAGCTGGACCATGGCGACA